GTTAATAGGCTCATCATGAATTCCCTCTGATGGTTTGGATAGTCTTAAAGGATGTCTCTTACTTTATTAATGGCAAATTTCAGCCCTAAGACATTAGAAATTTAAATAAACTTCTGGCTAAATCAAGTGAAAACACTGCTTAAAGAGTCAGGGTTTTTCTTTTTCACACATTGTCTCTAAATTTATAAGCACAGCAGAGACTGAAAATATTTGAGGACTCTCATAAGCACCAATATAAACACTAGCAAGACTAATGGTCTTCTAGATACAGAAGTTGCAATTAAATGCACTTCTAGAAGGATAACATCTTGAAAAAACTCTAGATAATTTTCCACACCATAACTCATTCCTGAAGAAAGTGAAGTTGTCTTGGGCTTTTGCACTTCATTCATCAACAGAAAATAAAAAAATGTGTTGGTAAAACTACAGTTTTTCTGTGTGTTACACTTTACAGTTACTAAACTATGTGTTACACTTTACCTGAACATGTGTGCAAAAATATTATACAGTGAAGGTACCACCCACAAGGTTTTACTCGGTCCCAATGACGCCTTTGGCAAAACTTCTATTAAATTTCAGATCCAGATTTCACTTCACCTGTATACTGCTTTTATGCTTAGGGGTAAAGGCCTCCAAGTTTCTGCAGCATATTCTTTTGTATTTGCCATTAGAAACAGGAGGAAAGGTTATACAAGATAAATAATAAGTAGTTCGATCAATGTGATGTTTCTGTTGCTTTTATTGTGGTCTTCTAGTGAAATGACTGAAGGATTCTGTGAGGCCATGGTAGCACTGTTAGCATCTAGTGCTCTATATATTAGAGTAAAATCAGATCAAATATAACCTGCTTTAGTTTAAATTCATACTATTGATTCAAATATATTAAAACATCTTTAACAGCTTAACTCTGTTTTGGAAAGATTCAGCTTTGCTCTAGTGTCCCCTGCTTGTATGACTCTAGGATCATAGTGCTACATAAGGTAGCACTCATGGTATCAGCAGACATAAAGCCTCTAGAGAAGGAGAGAGCTAAAATAAACCCCTTATTGCATGATCTGGCTACTTTGACAAAGTGTCTTTCAATCCCAGAACTGCCGGGTGATCTACCATGCACCAGTCCAGCATTCAGGATTGCAGAATCAGTGCCTGAGTTATAACTGTGCATTGTAAGAAAAGCAATTACAGACCAGTACTCAGTCAGTTGCTTCCATGTCATCTCGGCATTCCTGCAGGCAGTATCCAAACCCAATGCTTCTATCACTGATGATGGCCTGCACTGCAGAAGCCCTTTCCCCAGACTACCTCCCACTGGCATTCAAGCCCCTGAGTATTTCCTTCTTCTGATTTTGCATTTCTAATCTTAAGAGACAGGTTATGTGAGGAATTATTCAAGTGCAATATTTTTGAAAGGTTGTGAGTTATCTGGGTTGCAGAGAGCATGAGTTACACATATGAAAATACTGTAAATCTGTGTATGAGATCTGACACATTACCTACTATTTGCTAAATGCTCTTGCAAAAGACTACCGAACACTTCTGCTCATATGCATCAATGCATTCACCAATGAAACGTGGCTATCTTCAGAGTGATAAGGCAGCCAACTCAAACACTATTTTGTCTCAGCTATAATATAACAGTGTTTGTAAAGGCTGAGGCAAAGAAACAGAGTGAAGCTGCAGGGAGTTCAGATTGTTTTTAACCTGGTACTGGGCTCCCACTTCAAGGCAATCCACTCTTCCAGAGCTAGATTAATGGAGTTGAAATTCAGTGCATCACTTAGCACTTCCTACTACTTTATATATGCTGAATGGTTGCATTGGCCAATTTTTAGTCAGCTCACTGGCCAGTCCTTGAGGCTCTCTGTCCACTTACCAATATATGAAACGAAAACTGGGGAAATAGTCTGCTCAAGTTGCCATTGCTAAGAAAGAAATACCTAAATATGTCTAAGGGAAAGTTACAGAAGCCTGAAGTACTTTATCTTAAAAACCATAGGGAGAATTTCCTATCCAGCTGGAGGTATGTGAACTACTTTTGAAACCACTTTGTTTTGTTTCTTATGATCCAAAATGATCTGTATTGCTTGTCTGAACTGTCTATCACTTTACTGCTTTCTGACAAATTAAATCTTCTTAAAGGGCCTTTTCTGAACAATGTGATAACAGATACATTGTCTCAGTGTGAAACAGTATGGGAATAGTGTCCTTATTTTTCTAATATCAGTATTAGAAGAGCTATGATCAACATTCACCCTTCTCAACTCTACTAGCTGTGCAGAATATTTGGGAAGTGGGACTTCCTTCTGAGATTTTCTTTGCATTTTACTTCCAATCAGCATGATAGGACAACTCACCCTCTATGCTCTTGCAACAGTCTGGACTGTCAGCACAATGTCTGCTTAATCTAGGGGTTTAAAGTCAAGCTGTCCAGTGGCATCTGGCTTCCAGGCACTCACTTATTTAACAGTAGAGATGTTTCTGAAGAGCATGTGAAAACATATAGAAACATCACAAAATGATGCCTCTCTATCATCAGAAGATACCATCTGGGCTTTAACCTGTCTCAGTGAACAATTCTCAGCGTGAGGGCTCTTTCACCTCTACAGAGAGCCCTCCTGCAAATGTCAAATTGTCACAAGCTACTCCTCATCTAATAAGAAATTTCCATTTCCTTCTGTCCTCTTGCACAAAGTACTGCAAATCAGAGCAATGGAAGAACAGCTTTAAGTCAGGATAACTTGTGCTGAACAACATTTGAACTGCCTGTGAAATGATCATCAATATTACATGAGACAGATGAAAATTTGCCTGAGGTATAATGGTGCTCCCAGAGTGTTCCTATAATGCAGGTGGTTACTATGCAAATAGAACAACCTGGGAAGTATATGAGGAGGAATACCAGAATTAATTAATATAAGTAAATTAGTCATCTTTTAGTCTGTAGGACTTTTGGTCCTGAATCCCTACAAAACTGAGTTTACTATTTCACTTCTGAATTTGCTCAAGGGTAATCAAGAACATATATAAAGATCCTATTCTGCAGCTATTTCCATAATTTTATTTCCCTATTCCAGATTTTTTCAAGTTCAGCATCCAAAATGAATCAGACAGGTCATTCAACAGAAAAAAACAACCAAAAAACCCCATTGCCTTCTATTCACACAGAGTGAGAGTACCTAAGGAAAGAATGACCCTTCTGAAATAATATATTGCCTAAAATATGTTTTTGTGAAAACAACTAGTGACTGATACTTTTAATGAAATGGCTATGAGTCCTCAATATTTTTTTGCTTCATATATTCACATCTATCAGTAAAAAGGGTGGACAGAAGAATGGCTGCCACCACGTTTCAGCAACAGTTTTCAGTCTTCCTTATCCCCTTGTCCCATGAAGGGACAAAGTTGCAGAAAATCAAGACTATAGTCTTCTGTGCAGTGGAAACCAGCGTGGGTTTTCAATAACAAAGAGTTCAGATGGGCTGATGTGCACAGACTGCAACACAAATGCACACAATTGAACATCTCAATATCAGCTGAAGAGAAGGCAGCAGGAAGAACATGCTGAATGATGGCTTGGCTCTTTTACACTGCTTTGCCACTAACAGGCTAACAGCAGAAAGGGAGAGGCAGTGTGCTTGCATGTGATCAAGAGAACCAGGGAGCTGAACAGTAAAGCTGGAAGCCAGCTGTGCTCTTTTGCTTTCTGATGACCATAATTAGGCCATTTCATTGTTTCTCCTTTTCTCGCTGCCAAATTCCACTTGGAAAAGAAATGACAGCCCACAAACTCAGCCATTTGGCATGGCTTGAGGAGAAGACACCAGTGGCATTTTATCAGGGTCATGTTCTTATATACTGAGCATGACACACACTCACATAGCAAGTTTCCCCTTCATACCTGTCCGCCTATAGGTCTGTGTCTTATGCACCTCACTGAAAGATCTCTGCCAACTGCCTGATCCTCCATGTCAGTTCCAGCTCCTCAGCTTGACCTGGGACCTCTCAACCAGATACACCTGATGCTTGGCTCAACAGAGAAGTTATGGCTTGGCGGACGCCTCACGACAGTGTCTTCAATTAAGTCACGTTAGAAGGCATTTTTCTCTTACTAGTTTCAAAGTTGTCCCCCCTGTCATATAACCTCCCCACCTGTAGCATAACCTGATGTGTATCTAGGTAGGAGCATTCAGTAACATTTCTGCTGCCTTTTTCCCACACTCACAGTTCCAAGTCCATACAGTTTGACCTAACTATCCCTGAACTACTTTCCAATTTGCATTTTAATTTGAATAAATCTATGTAGTCTATTTATTTACTTTTACTCTTTCCTGCAGTGGAGATATTGGTCTGACAGAGCATGCCGGAATATCACACCCGTTATGTCAGGCTCCTTTAATTCCAAAGGGATTCCTTATTCTTTGCTGCCTGTCGCCATTTCGCATGTAATTTAAAAACAGCAGGCAGCAATTGAACTCTCAGATCTCATTATTACCTACAAGTCCTTCCAACAACAAGAAGTAGACTAGAGACTTTCTTCAAGGTGATGGGCAAATGTGCCAAAGTTGCCTCTAATTTATATTGCCACTGATGCTTTTCAATCACACAGCTTCTCTTTATTTGCATGCTACACTTGTTCTGCTTTATATAATGTCTCCTCTCTGTGCACGAACACTACGAGAACTCAGCAGCCTTTCACACTATGCAAGTTTATTTTTCAATTCTGTTTCATGTCTGCCTTCAATAATTAACAACTTCATAAATTACATCCATGAAGTACAACCCATACTGAAATGGGTTTTTAATGTATCATTCATCTTTGTAGCTAATTAAGCCTTTTGTACCAAGACAAGAAGTTATGAAATACATCAAGCACAGTTAGGTCAACAACTATTTAACCAAGAAAGGAACTAAAAAAAAAGAAGAAGAAAAAAAAGAGGGATAGTGCTAGAGCAATGCCCATGTTTTAAGAAAAGTCTCAGCTCAATGCTCAAACTGCTTACCTCTCCTTGCCAGATCGGGTTGACGGTATTACACATGATCTTAGATCTTTTCTCCTGTCCATGATGAGGAAGTGCTGGGAAGATGCTATGTTTTCCAGGCTGGATGGAAATCTTCAGATAAGGATCTGGATTAAAGAACATTCCTTTCTTCAGACCAAAGGCCTGGAAATCTGAAAGAAGGTAAGTAACCTGATTATTTTTCACATTCCAGGTGTCCCTTTGGGGACCCAGTAAGGAACCCAAATAATATGGCATGAATGTGAAAAAAACTCACTGTGTTTATTGTGAGGCAATGTAACACCAAATCATAATGATATTGTGGTTTAGGATTTACAAATTATTATATAATGAAACTGCAAATTTGCAACCTAATTGTGCAGATTGATTTGGCTTCAGGTTCAATATTTATGCAACTTTAAGTGATCTGTTAATTTTTCTAATAAGCCAAGCACTTGCTCAGCCTGACTCTAGTGGAAGGAGTACTCTGAAAAAGAGATCCAGTCATTTAACCACAGTCATGGCATTTGGTACCCAATGTATGTCACTTCTCCTAGGTATCAATTTTACCCATGTACAAATCTTAGTTTTTACACCACTTTTTTCTACATGAAAAGTCAATTTACATTCTTTCCACTTTAAAGCATTTTCTTCCCTGCATGGGTTAAACTTGACCTGTAGTAACTTAGAAAGGCTCTTGTCTCTAATGACCAAATTTTAAGCAGTGCTTCAGAGCTGCAGAACTCCCAGGGAGCATAATATGTGTCACGTAGACAAAAAGTCTCCAGGCACTTATTTGAAAATTTACTCATAATATTCTGAAGGAAGACACAAAGCCCATTATAGTTTGTCCCTGTGAAGCCAATGAAATGCAAACCAATCTGCTGGTATATCATTAATTTTGGCTCAACAGACACAAACTAAACCCTCCGGCCTTCTCTTTTTCTAGATGCGTTTTTAAGCTTTCTTCGGAGTATATGAGCACTTATTCCTATTAGTGAATTCAGTAACTAATTTATTTTCCACCGCTTCTTTTTAAAGCTTTATTTCACATAGGGCTATAAGCACTGTACTGCATTCTGCCTACTTTCTCTTGCTGTATTGAAGAGATAAAAAAGCATTACACAAGATAGTTTCCAAAACTACTTAGATGCATACCTAAACATTCAATTTAAACACATATTCTTTCTTTCAGGCAGATTTTGAAAACATTAATTTTCACAGTCTTTTAATTCTCTTCTGATTAAAAATCCAATTATTCTGGCAGGTTGTGGGAGAACATGTAAAACCCTCCAGGCAGATATTTTGGATGAATCTGAAAATCATACACATTGCACACCATCAGTATTTTTTCCAGAAAATGGCTACATCAAACACAGGGATATGTTTCATCCAGTTGTATTTTGCTTCCTTAACATATGGTAATAGCCAACACAATAAAATGTGCAAGTTCAAAAAAACTGCTTTTCTTTCCATTGGGTTTAATCATCTATTCCAGCACACAATTCATGTTGCAGATATTCAAAAGCTGTTGGACAGATGGCCCTGCAACAGATTGTATTTTAAGAATCTCATTCTTGAGGCATTCTCTAACAGTTAACAAAAAAAAAATAAAGGATATCACTACTAAGAGCTTATTTGAAAGTACTTTGTTGACAGTATGTGCTGCCATGGTCCCAGCAATGCTATCACACAAAGAAAATTATCTGCTTCAAACTGATAAACATCAATTTTTTTTTTTTTTTTTTTTTTTTTTTTTTTTTTTTCCTGGGTGAACAATCTCTGTGTAACCAGCATGTACCTCATCTAACAGCCTGGTTGAAATCCTATATGGCAAACTCTTTGGCTTTGGAAGTTTGTACTGTTAGAAATGCATTCAAGAAATAGAAACCAAGATTGCAAAAGCACTATGAATGACAAGGCCTAGCAGTGTATTAGCACCAGGCTGCTAACATATGAGAGGAGAGAAAGACCTCTGGGATCTTATTTTCTTTCTCTCTGATGCTTCCTCAAAAGATTCTGAAACTGAAATATTTATTGCTGCATATGTTTCTGATTTTCTTTCCTTCAAATGGAGACCATACCACTGAGTAAAGAAATGGTCTATTGATAGATAGAAAATACCTAGCACTCAATTATGTATTTTTATATATTATGTATCATAAAGAAAATACATATTATTATGACCTACCATCCTCTTTCCAGTTACGGTAATTAAGCACAGTCATGAAAATGAAGGTACTCCTAGTCTCATTTTTGTATTTGGATGAGGAAGAAAATATAATTTAGCTAAGCACAGAGCAGACAATTTTATTTGTGTCATTTCCTTGCTTAAATTGCATAACAGAACAAAATTTGTTAAAAAGTCAGTTAGAAACTTCAATTTTTAATGTCCAAAATATGCATAGGGTAGCAGAAATAGCTTTCTCAAGGACAAATATCCCACTTATATCTCACCACAAATTCTCATCACTATGAAAAATGGAGCATCAAAAATGCAACAGCTCTGAATAAAGTTACGTGGATATCTGCAGTTAACCAAAATTCCATTTAATTTGAAGCAAAACCTATCTTTAGGTGCTGTAACTATCTGCTGGAACTCATAACCAAAGGCTCAGATACTCTCTTACCACTGCTGCGTAACATACCAACAGAAGAATCCCAGCTATTCTGCTTTCCCAAATGCAAATATTTCTCTTTATCATGTTCAGAAAAAAGGTTCTAAAGATACTAAATATTTGAGTGGTGGTCTGAGGCTAACTGAATTTAATTCTTTGGTGAAACCAATGAATTCCACAGACATGCCCTGCTGTACACTTCAGTTCTACAGTGTATTTCTTGGAGGCATATGAGGAAATGTTACCAAGATAACTCATCTATTTGTTGCAAAGGGGTATTTTCATCCAGTCGCTTAAAAAAAAAAGTTAACAATATACCATAAGTCAGTTTCCTGTTTAGTCATAAATCACACTTAAGTGTGAAAGAGGTTATATACATCTAACAATGTAATAATGTCAGGCCATCTCTCATGAAAGATGACAGAAGGAAGGAATCCAGGTAGAGACAGAACAATCACAGACTCTTTCAGTGCTACAGACTGGCAGTAATTGCAAGTACGTGCACCCAGTACAGCTAGGTTCACTTCATTATAGAAAAGTGGTTTATACTAACTGCTGCCTGCAGCTTTCTCCAAGTGAATTATAAATTTTTTCCAACTTCAGAGCTTTCCTTCCATATATGCTGATGTTCAGGTGTCTGGATGAGACCTAAGGAAGCTTTATGCTAGGTCACTTGCATGCATGTACTCTCTGTTCCTAAGGAGGGCCACAGACTTTCCTGTCTGCCTTGTAAAGGATCATTTGGCAAATCTATTTGCCCTGCAGCATCACAAACTGTGATGGATAGTGATGGACAGTCTATTTTTGTGGCAAACTGGAAACTAGTATGTATTTACTGGAACCAGATGGGGATGTCAATTCCAACAAATACAGCTAGAGCACATCTGTGTTTTACCATGTTTGCTTTTGCCTCAACACAAGTGATTAAGCTTTCAAAAGGTCAGGGAGAAAGTATGATTTAGGCTTGTGAGTCACATTTTGTCATGCTCAGCACAGAGATTCCCTGACAGTAATGATCAGTAAAACTACTGTAACAATTATATATATATACATACCTGCAGACATAGCAAGGTACTTATCCGGACCCAAACTCCACATAGGGGCATAACAGAGAAGGATGGAGAATCAGAGAGAGAACCAGACCCTGGAGCAGTCTGTTTGCTAAATTGATTACATTTAGTCTGGTCATCAATATGTCAGAAGTAAGTTAAGGAAGCTGGAAGCTGTTCTCCCCAAGGGATGAGAAGACTTTGCCAATAGCTGTGGAAGAACTTTCCTGGAAATAATACATGAGGCTACTCTGTGCAATTTAGAAGTGTGTCTCAAGAAGACCAAGTCCCTCTAGTCTCTTGATGGTGCATATTTTACTTCATTGAAGTAAAAAAGCCAGAGTCTACAAACCAGCAAAAGGATCAAAGACTAGTAAGTAGTAAAGCTATTAGTTTTGAGAAACTGATATTGATATTCTAAAACAGTTGGCAAATTCCTTCCAACAAATGCCAAGTCCTGAATGTCCTTTGTGATTCCAAGCACCATCCAACTGACGACAACTGATGTCTTGCAGCTATCTATACTTGTGGTAGAGGTTATTATGCCCTACAGATTCTATGGTCAACTCACCAAATTCACATTTTTCTTATTTAGCATACTAGCCTCATAATCTCAGGACCAGGAAATAAAATGTCTTCCTCATGAGTCACCCGACCCCTTGAGCAAATGAAGACATCTTCAGTTAGGCCAAACTTGCCCAGAACATATCTAAAAACAGCACTAATGGAGTTAACAGGACACTGGAAAGAACCAAGTGTCACTGGAATGACCACATTCAATTTAGATTATGATCTAGCTTGATGAACACCAAAATGGAATTTATTCTCTCTATGATCTGCTCATTAATGGCAGAAAGCAAAAAATATTGTCATCTTACTGAGATCTTGATAGTTCACGTATCAAAGCAGAGTAAACCATCTTCATAATCTATCACCACAAGAGAGTTGCTAATTAGGAGGTAGGTAGACAGCTCCAACATTTCCCTTCAGATTTCCTTTGTAAATTCCCAAAGAGCTGTCAGCTTGGGTTCTGACACTGAAAAAATGAACTTGAACAGGACTGGTATCTGGATTGACTACCAGTGAGGGAAGGTAAGTGCCAGGCTGCTGATATGTCAGTGTTTCTTTTGTAGAGTGTTTCTTTTGCAGAGCTTGGACTCTGTATTAGAGGGTAGCAGTTCATCTAGTGGCCTGAGCTACCCAAGACATCGTGGCTACCCAAGAAGTCGTGGCTTCAAAAGAAGGAACAGCAAAACTCTACTTTGCTCAAGATTCAACAGGAGGCACATAGATACTGCCTCTCAGCCATGTGCTTTTAAAGCAAGAGAAACTATTTTAGCTACTATCAGTGTAACAACCTTTCAGTTGTAAGAACACATCAATATTGCATTTATTGAAATGCCAATTTGATTCATGTAGCAGTATATGATATTAAAATTTATCATAAGAAAAGGGAGCATGGATTCACAGAAGTATTGCATCTGGTATCAGATTTCAAGAAGCAAATATTAAGGAATTTTAGAAAACAAACAGTAATGTGCAATGATAGGAAGTCTTAAAATCCAACACTGCAAACTAATGCAGAGGAATTGAGAAATATACTACATACACTACAATAGATGACTGACTTGATCAGCTACTGAATGAGATTGTGCAACTGGTGATATGCAAGAAGTTAAATCAGATAATTAAAGTGCTTCTTCCTGCTCTCAGAAATCTACAGCTCTATAGACAGATTTCACTTTCCTTTTAAAACAGGATGTAAGAAAAAAAAAGGCAGGTGTAGTTGCACAAGGAGGTGTTTAATGATCTGAGATTTAAAAAAAGACGACTAAGTGGATCAGATAAACCAAAACATTTCTGCCACAGGGCCACCAAGGCAAAACATTAAAGACAGTGGAAAAAAGGAGAAAATATTTTCTTCTAGCTGTTACAAACAAAAATGGAAGGACTGTCATTTGGGCAAGGAAAGGGCAGCAGAGGTATTAGGAAGAAAATAGGTCTATTAATAAATGAAAAGGAGTAGAGAAATTAATTATTCAAAAATGGCTGAAAGACAGGCTACCTTTTAAATTGTCTTCATCAAGAAGGAAAACAGAAAAAGTCTGAACAGCTAAAGTGAACAGCTTATCACAGCAAGTGGGAGTTTTTATCACTGCAAGCGGTTAACCACTTGAACAAAATACCATCTCCTGGTATCCTCAGATCCAGACTACTATCTGTAAGATATATCTGAGCCAAACTCACACAAAGCTCCACACCATGGAGCAAGGTGGCCTACGTTAAATAGGATAATAAAGTAGTTGAATTCAAAGCCTTTTGAGGCCTTTCAAACTTAGTCTGGAGCATGGCACTACTTTGCAGGCACAGATGTACTGGAAGTGGTAGAAAGTCACCTCACCTTCACACAAGATCCAACAGGTAAGAAAAAGTCAAGGAATTAGTACCTCGGGTTTATAAAGAATACATCTGAGCAAGTTGGCTTGAGTTGAGGAGGGCAGAAGAGGCAGTAGATTTATAACAATACTAAACAAAATTTAGTGGCTAGAACTCCTGTTATAAAATCAGTTACTAGGATTTCAAAAAATTGTTGGAAGATAAAGTGTATTATATATCTGCATTCTGAACAAGCATTTCATGGTAACAACTACAGTCATAATGACCCTTAGTGGACCTTATACTATTTTCAGTTCTGATTTATACTCTGACTTCTTTAAACTGACAACTGATACTACCCGAATACCTGGTCTGAAAGACACACAAAAATAACTAACAACATTCTCAGAGTGGTGTGAAGAGGATAAATGCCTGAATGTTTGTAGAATATTCAAATCTTCTGGTCATTTGTTCTACAAGAACACATAATAAATGTGTGCACACTTAAATAAAGTGTGCAAACACATGAGATATGTGAAATATTAAAGCCTGAAAAACTTATTTCATGCAACATAGGGCTAGGAGGCATATCATGCAAACCTCATAATACACTTTCTAAATATACCAGCCAACAAGACTGCTTTTAAGGGCTTTCAGCAAATTTGTTATACTGCTGAACCATGAACCTTCAGTGAAGTAGCTGGTACATCTCAGGAAGCTTAGCACATATCTTCTTTCCATACTTCATGCAAGAGAGCTCTGACACTTTCAGGCACCTTATCAGAAGTGTGATATTCACTGGTAACAGCAGAAAAGGCATTTCAGAAAATAAATGCAAAATGGACTGCATAGCTTTCCTTAAAGACTTTTTTCAATCTAGTTAAATTAGGCTTAAAATATTTCTCTTGGTATTTTAAATAATGAAAGCTATAATAATACTGTCATCATAAAAACTATTAAGAGGCTTAATTACAGGAAACTACCTTCTTTGAGATCAGTCTTGCTAGTGAACATATTGATCTGAACCAACCCTTCATAGGACAAACTTCCAGTCTCCAACGCAGAAAACATGAAGGAAAAATCCCTCCTAGTGACATAATGTGAACTCTCTGCTATTTCCATTCTCAAGAAGCCAGCCATCTTCTTGTGCCTTAAAGGATTGTTTTACACCTGTTTCATTGTTTGACATTTTTATTCAATCCAGAAATCTTTTCTCAAGCAAAATCTCCCATGAAACCAGTTGGATTTTGTCCAACCAAATACTCTATAAAGAAGCACTTTCAGAAAGAAGAAAGCAGTTTGTCACCAGGTTTATAGAAAATAACCTGTTTCTGCACAGTTCATTTCCACATAGGGTCTGACTGGAGCCTCAGCAGTACAGCAAGCAATACGAGTCAGCTGAAATGCACTGATGTTGTTCAGCATTTCATGGAATTTGGCCTACTTCGACATTTTTCTCTCCCATTCTAATAATTTTTTCTTTAAAAAGTGATATGGTAGAAGACATAGCTCTTCTTGCATTCTTTAGATGACAGACTGCTTAGGGCATGGCAGCTCTGTGCTGGTGCAGTGCTTAATGCAATGGTTCCCAGTCACTCTAATGGTTTGACACTTTTTTCTTTCTAATTGCCACTAAATCAACCATAATTTGGAAACATAACTTTTAAGTAATGATACTGAAGATGACAATATACCAAAATATAGATATTGAAAAGGAAAAGTCTATGTAAGCCAAAAGGACTCGTGACAATAGAGAAATTATTGCTGAGATAGTAGTGCAAACAGAAAGGAATCCTAGTTCCTGCTGATGCCTCTGGAAGGTCTGGATTGATTTGTATTCTATTAGATATATTAGATACAGGAATAGCAACAATTTTGCTTTGAGAGAGACAACATTTTGTTGTTGTGGTATTGACTAAGTGAGAAGGTAACAAATCCTTGCGACATGTTAATCTGTTAATTTCAGAAAGATTGAAATAGAACTATTTTGATACCACAGATTTTTGATAAAATAATTGTCCAGTTACTTTATCAAAGCCTTTCAAATACCTGGCTGTGAGGATGCTGTTAATACGGATGTGATACAAATGTAGATTAATTGCTTGTAAACCATGAGAATAAGATATCCCAAATATATTACAAGGTATGGTCTTCATATACTTTGAATCAAGCTGTAAATTAGATACTCTAGTTTATAAAGGGGCCAACTGAGACCACATTATTTATCAGTCTCACAAATTACTAGTCTTGACACCTCTTGGTCTACTAGGCCAAAGAATCTGAGAGAATGAAAAACTGTAACTAGTTCTGGGCCACATTTTCTGCATAAGATTATTAAAGAACATTAAAAAATATCAACTCTACTTCTTTATTTCTCTTGAGCTAAGCCCATGGTTTTATCAACTGCTGGGTGGATGCCCAGTGTCCAACTCACAAAAATAAGTGATGTGTTGAAACAGCCCCACCTAATACCAGTCTAACTTGCCATGTATCATATACAGCCTCTCAAGAACCACACTGGATATCTAATTTGGGAGAGCACTGACTTGTGTGCTTAGTAGAGGGAAGCTTGAAACAAATCATATGGCCAAAACTAATCATATAATGAGATACTTGTCTAAGTGTAGGACTTTATACAGAAAGGCCTATGCCTGTCAAACTTTTGATCTAGGGTAACTCTTTTTACTCTGTACTACTTCCTCAAAGAACTTTCAAGTCAAGGTAAGCATCTTTGTCTTCCAGGAGCTAAAAAAATACAGAAACCAAGTAGCAAGCATAAAACTCCAAAATGAGAACCTTGCTCACAACTACTCTCTTTTGACAAACTGATTTTCGTCTACAGATGTGATTTGCAGACTGTTTTTACCAAAGCCAGATCAAATGGTTCATAGCTGTTTCATGGAACCATATTAAGCCTTTAAAACCTGCAGAGACATGCCAAGTAATGAGGCTGAGCATTCTTCAAGAAGTGCAGAGGAGTGCGAGAAGTGTTCTGGCGCAAGAAGTCAGAGAGTCACTGTTGAGCAACACAGACAAGCTTGTGCACATAGATCTGCCTCAGGTCCAGACCATGACTGTGGAACGTGCTCTCCAAGAAACAAAATACTACCACAAATCATATTGTGCTCTCTAAGTTAAGCACATGCCTTTGATCTTGCTTTCCCTGACCTACATATTTAACTGTGAACAGAAAACCTAATCTGGCCCCAAAACTCTACTTGAACAAGACACTTCAGCACATAACTCTCATTGAAGGAAGAGAGTGTGGCAGTAATCACAGATATTAATTCTCTGCCTCAGCATCACTTCTAGAGCAACAGGCAAAAACCCATACATAAATATATACATATATAAAACTACCACACATGAAAGGTTTTAGAAACATGCACATGAAAGGTTATAGAAACTCCAGTCCCCAACTCTTTGGGCTTAAAACTTTCTCATCAGCAGTGACTTACCTGACAATGAAAAACTTATCAGTCTCCGATTTCCTTGTCCCTGGATTGAGTCTTCATTGGTGATGCTTTTAAAAATCTGCTGGAAGACAAATAATGGTGAGAAAGAGTAGTCTCCAACAACTCTTGAACATAGAAATTGCCTACTGTCTTTTTGCAGAATTTTAGTTTTACAACTAAGAATCAATTAAGGACCAGGGATCAAAACAATGTTTATGTTTATGATGAAAAAATACTACTGTAATTTGAACATACCAGTTCATCACCCAAAAAGGAACTACTTATTAATCAGGACATAAGGATGGGGATGTAGCTATCATCTCTTAAAACAACTTCCATCTTTATAACATCCTATTACTTGTGTAGAAAATCTTGTTCCAGAAAGCTAATTGCATACATGTGAGAAAGACTTCTGAGAGATTACTAATACCCTGCACAACAACCAGCTGTGAATTATGATAACAATGAGCATTGAGGGTGATCTGGCAAAAGAAAAGAAATTAAAAATCCATAGATGACCATTTGTACTCCACAGTTTAGGTTTTAATGTCAGTCTTTGGTTCAGCAAGTTTACTGGTGAGCTGCTGTTGTGCAAATTAGGACCCAAACTGCCTTCTGGCTGTGATCAGAACTGGGAAGCAAGAATGCCTTTGAGCCAGTGTCTGGGGCATCAGCAGAAACACACCATCAGCAGTTTTCACTGCTGAGCCCCTGAACAGGGCAGAGGAGATGCCATCGGGTGTCAGGCTCCAAGTCCAGCAGGGAGGTGGTGCTACTAGTACTGCCTCCCATTGACTCTGGAGTCAAACCAAATGCTGCTCTGCCCCCAGGAAGCAGCAGCTCCTCGCCACTCTTGCCATTCAGCTGTCAGCCAAAAAAGAAAAACAGCATTTATGCAGTGAAGTTCCAATTTCTGCCAGGAAACAGTAACTGAAGTCCCACTCAGCTGTGACTCATTGCTCAGTATATTAAATATTGTGTAGTCAAGCTTAACTTAGAAAGCAAGCTGGTCTCTGCCTCCAGAGAGTGCAATGCAAGGGGGTGCTACAGCCCAGCTAGCAGGGATTAAACAACACAACTGTCAGGTTAAGACACAAATGAGGCCTAGATCAAAAACATACAGGTTGAATTTAGACATCATTATAAAATAATGGGCTCTGTTGGACTTGACTTTTTGTCATAATCATTTTGTTTCTTCCAGACTATCTAAATGAGATAACAGGTACTGAGTAGAGTGAGACTATGACTAAATTCCAGTATGAACACCCCTATTGGACCACAGCTAATTAGTTGCAATTGTTCTTTCTGTCTTCTCAGCTAAGTAGGTTTCAATATACTTATTGAAGCCACTACTGATTTCTGGATAGAGACACATTTAAATCAGAATGTGATTGCTAGAATTTATGACAAGAACTCGGTAACCTTTAGCAGTCAAAATTGTGATCCCACCAAGAAACAGACATTTCCTTATCACTGTGTATTTTTTATACTATGTCACTAGCTGACATTTATTAAACACTCTCTTTTAATGCTTACTATTATGGTCCTTCCATGATTCTGTCCAGGACAGTAACTGGGCCAACCAACCTAGACATGTGCACATTTGCAAAACATGTGCTTTTTTTTCAGTTCTTCAGTATTACTCTGGGTTTCTTTTTAGATCTGCCATGTATGTCATACATCATGGCAGTATGAATAGTTTAGCAGTCTACACTTCAAACAAATTGGGGTGGATCTGATGGGGTCCTGCAAACACTAGTCTGTTCAAAACTTAAAAATATGTTGCTATTAAATGACCCTTTGGGGGCCATACCTGCATTAGTGAGATTATATCAAGGCAGTCATAATATTGTTGCGAATTCTGATATGGGCAAAGCATCCCTAGCATGGTCAAACCTGCACTGGTGAAGCTTGGCATTATACAAGGGAAGTAATAAGACATCCAGTCTCATAAGAAAAGAAAACCAACATAAATTTATTTGCTTCTGGATGATCCATCCCTTCTGTGAAACAGCTGTACCCCACAGCATCCTGTCAAGTGCTCACTGTGCAATCACGGGGACAAAAAGCCAGCCCTGCTGCATAAATTAGTTATATACTCAGTAGCTGACCCCAGTGTAGTTGTCTGAGATGCAACACTACATCCAAAAGCCAGTCGTTTTGATAATGTCTAGCACTTAACCTTAGCAATAGGAAACACCCACACTTTTTTGAAGCTTTTCCACTTTTCTTCCTGTCCAGCAGATGAGAGAGAGAAAGCATGGCAGAAAGGCTGAAGGAGAGACACACTTATCTTTGGGTTGAGACCTGGGGTGCACCATTAAAAACAGTTGAGCCAAATGCCTCGTGTGTAGCTCTACCATGACAATCTGTGTTCCTCACCCTCCAGCAGTCTGAAGGCACTGGTCTGCCACTCTTCTCTCACACGCACTGCAACTTCTCACCCACAATACAGGTCCTCAGGCACGGCAGGGAAAATGCCAGAGAACGCTCAAGAGCAGGTAGACATCCTCTCTCGAAGAATGGAGGAATTAAACACGGATGTACTCAGGGAAGGGATAATAGGAAGGCCGTGAAACTGATTATACTTTAATTATTGGCATTTCAAGAAGTCAGAAGGAACAGCAGTGGAGGAAGGGAGAAAAATCTCCCAACATTAAATCTGCTTTTCTGAAAATAAAACGACCTAATTGCTGCAGTTCAGATTCACTGTTTTCTAATGCAATACCAGATTGTCCCCAGTAGCGAGGACAAGGCTGCACCTGATGCAGGGCAGGGCAAAAGAGGGTGAGTAGTCACCAATGCTCACCAGCCACAACACCAACTGAGTTTCATAGTATCTTGAGGCCTGAGATGGGAACATGCACAGGTCATACTGTTCCTGCTTGGCATTTATCATGAAAGAAATCCAGACTGATTTTAGTGGCTACAATATAATTACACTGGGAGTTTTGTCAGTATAAGTAAACCTTGAATTTAGTCATCAGGAGGTAAAAATCCCTCTATTTTCTCAACCGCCACTTAAAATATAGTTAGTTGACAGAAGGACAATATTCATCTTGCCACTTGACATTCTATGGACTTGAAGTCCTTCACATGAAAAGGAACAAATGTGATTTTCCCTCAATAACTTTTCTGCTCTTTTATGCCCTTGAAGTGAGAGCTCAGTCTGAATTAGTTTAATATTTTTAGTTGTGCAGCCCAGACTAATTATTTTACAAGTCCTGCTGATACAAAACAGAATGAATATGATTTTATTACATGCTCTTTTATATCTAGACATGAAGGGATGGGACATGAGCTGCAACTTCAAGCCTAGCTGAATCTCTCTCAGAAAACCAAAGGCTTCCTGAACTGGATTCAAACCTCCTTTTGCTTTCCTTGAATATAACTGGAGCCAGCATCATTGCCACTGATGGGAGCGTATATATTCAGACAGTTAGAGGGCTATCAGTACTTCTTCAAAATATCCTGCAATAAACATATACTGTAAAATCATCATCTTTTCTGCTACAAAGTTTCCTAGCCTCTGAAGAATTGCAAAAGATGACTGCCACGGCCTGTGATGGCTATCTGTGAAACATGGGAAGGTATCTGAGGCCAGATCCAAGCCTCCTGGGACTTGCTAAGCTCAGGAAAAGGTCCAGGTTTGGTAGTGTTTTTCATTTTTACAGCACAGAGAAGAAAGAAGATAGAAGGAGATGAGTGAAAGCTAAAAATAATAGTATTGCCCTAGTATCACTTTTCCTTGTGAGTAGTTCCTGCAAATGCTAGAAGGAAGTTACGTGACCCTGAATGAGAAAGGAGGCAGACTTCACATTAGCAAACGGAGCCCTCGAGACTCGCTTCCTCTTTAGCCATGGTATGTGTTATGGAAAAAGAATTTAAAAAATCTTGAGAAATCCCAGAGCATTATAATCCATCAGCTCTTGCTGTGACAAAATTCCAAGCGCATCACTAAAAATTTGTGAGGCCTCTGAGCAGAGGCCCAGAAACAGAGACTCTCACAACTAATTAAAAGTATCTCCTAAAATACCTTTCTCTTCACTAGTCTACCTAAATATATGGAAGAGTAACAAAGATGACTCTCTTGGTCATGAAAATAAAGTGGCTTACAGGGCACACTTAGGATGCCCCTATTCAGCCTCCCTGTTGCTCTAGGTTAGGTGAGGCAAATACAGGTATAGTGTGAATCAGGTCTGGAAGAAATTGTGTTTACCTGGTGCTGCACTAGAAGATCTGCTTTTGGACACCACAGTGAGCAGTAATAGTGTAGCATGCTGGCAAAACATGCTTTGCAGCACTGAGTTCTCTTTAGCATATTTGTCTACTGTGCAACCCAACTTCAATATTTTTAATGTCCTGCTGATACGAAACAGGATAAATATGATTTTATTGCATACATCTACCACAGCTGGACATGCATAGCTGGCAAATACAAGCACTTACTCCTTTTCCCACACACAGCACAGGAAAACACTGTTATGTCTTAGTTTTAAGTGTTCTGTAACTCTTTTTCCTCTCCAGAAGGACATTTTTGTCCCCTGTGCCCACACAAAGAGATTCAACAAAGCTAACCAAATTTTCCCATAAGCAAAAGAAACATCTAGAGTAAGTAACCCTCCCTTTCCCTGACGGCCAAAGTACTTCTGTATCAGTAGCTTCTGCTGCAAAAGAATGGCAATATTTAATGACCATAATTTATATCAGTTATCTCCCATGAGCCAGTATTTCTTACATTTAAACAGGAAATTGCAGTGACACAAAAACCAGTGCTGCACTACCTGTTTGCTTTTGTTGACTTACCTGGTGAACATCATGGACATGACCTAATGCTCAATCCAATCACGTTTTGATTTTACAAGGTGCTAATTAAAACCTAGAATATTTTCCACTGAGAGCACAGATTGCAATCCAGTAATATCTATTGCAGATTAAATAATCAGGTACTGTAAACTGACAAAGCTCTAGCCTGGACAACACTATCTATTCACAAGAGTTTTTCTTTAAAGAAGCAGATCTAAAAACAAAGTATTCAGAAGGGCTCACACTTCCCAGCAGTACTATCCATATCTGTATTGA